AGTACTGTGTCTGTACTACTGTGTCTGTACTACTGTGTCTGTGCTACAGTACTGTGTCTGTACTACTGTGTCTGTACTACTGTGTCTGTACTACTGTGTCTGTGCTACTGTGTCTGTGCTACTGTGTCTGTACTACTGTGTCTGTGCTACTGTGTCTGTACTACTGTGTCTGTACTACTGTGTCTGTACTACTGTGTCTGTGCTACTGTGTCTGTGCTACTGTGTCTGTACTACTGTGTCTGTACTACTGTGTCTGTACTACTGTGTCTGTACTACTGTGTCTGTGCTACTGTGTCTGTGCTACTGTGTCTGTACTACTGTGTCTGTACTACTGTGTCTGTACTACTGTGTCTGTGCTACTGTGTCTGTGCTACTGTGTCTGTGCTACTGTGTCTGTGCTACTGTGTCTGTGCTACTGTGTCTGTGCTACTGTGTCTGTACTACTGTGTCTGTACTACTGTGTCTGTACTACTGTGTCTGTACTACTGTGTCTGTACTACTGTGTCTGTGCTACTGTGTCTGTGCTACTGTGTCTGTACTACTGTGTCTGTACTACTGTGTCTGTACTACTGTGTCTGTACTACTGTGTCTGTACTACTGTGTCTGTACTACTGTGTCTGTGCTACTGTGTCTGTGCTACTGTGTCTGTGCTACTGTGTCTGTGCTACTGTGTCTGTGCTACTGTGTCTGTGCTACTGTGTCTGTGCTACTGTGTCTGTACTACTGTGTCTGTACTACTGTGTCTGTAACTACTGTGTCTGTACTACTGTGTCTGTGCTACTGTGTCTGTGCTGCTGTGTCTGTGCTGCTGTGTCTGTACTACTGTGTCTGTACTACAGTACTGTGTCTGTGCTACTGTGTCTGTGCTACTTTGTCTATACTACTGTGTCTGTGCTACTGTGTCTGTACTACTGTGTCTGTACTACTGTGTCTGTACTACTGTGTCTGTACTACTGTGTCTGTAACTACTGTGTCTGTACTACTGTGTCTGTACTACTGTGTCTGTACTACTGTGTCTGTGCTACAGTACTGTGTCTGTAACTACTGTGTCTGTGCTACTGTGTCTGTACTACTGTGTCTGTGCTACTGTGTCTGTGCTGCTGTGTCTGTGCTGCTGTGTCTGTACTACTGTGTCTGTACTACAGTACTGTGTCTGTGCTACTGTGTCTGTGCTACTTTGTCTATACTACTGTGTCTGTGCTACTGTGTCTGTACTACTGTGTCTGTACTACTGTGTCTGTAACTACTGTGTCTGTGCTACTGTGTCTGTAACTACTGTGTCTGTGCTACTGTGTCTGTACTACTGTGTCTGTGCTACTGTGTCTGTACTACTGTGTCTGTACTACTGTGTCTGTACTACAGTACTGTGTCTGTGCTACTGTGTCTGTGCTACTTTGTCTATACTACTGTGTCTGTGCTACTGTGTCTGTACTACTGTGTCTGTACTACTGTGTCTGTACTACTGTGTCTGTACTACTGTGTCTGTAACTACTGTGTCTGTGCTACTGTGTCTGTACTACTGTGTCTATACTACTGTGTCTATACTACTGTGTCTGTGCTACTGTGTCTGTGCTGCTGTGTCTGTACTACTGTGTCTGTGCTACTGTGTCTGTGCTACTGTGTCTGTGCTACTGTGTCTGTACTACTGTGTCTGTACTACTGTGTCTGTAACTACTGTGTCTGTGCTACTGTGTCTGTGCTACTGTGTCTGTAACTACTGTGTCTGTACTACTGTGTCTGTAACTACTGTGTCTGTGCTACTGTGTCTGTACTACTGTGTCTGTGCTACTGTGTCTGTACTACTGTGTCTGTGCTACTGTGTCTGTGCTACTGTGTCTGTGCTACTGTGTCTGTACTACTGTGTCTGTGCTACTGTGTCTGTGCTACAGTACTGTGTCTGTACTACTGTGTCTGTGCTACAGTACTGTGTCTGTACTACTGTGTCTGTATATTGTGTCTGGACTACTGTGTCTGTGCTACAGTACTGTGTCTGTACTACTGTGTCTGTGCTACAGTACTGTGTCTGTACTACTGTGTCTGTACTACTGTGTCTGTGCTACTGTGTCTGTGCTACTGTGTCTGTGCTACTGTGTCTGTGCTACTGTGTCTGTGCTACTGTGTCTGTACTACTACTGTGTCTGTGCTACTGTGTCTGTGCTACTGTGTCTGTGCTACTGTGTCTGTACTACTGTGTCTGTGCTACAGTACTGTGTCTGTACTACTGTGTCTTGATGTCAAAAAAGATTTGACTGACGTGTTCAAAGTTTGATACAGAAGTAAGACCAAGATTTTCCAAGTGTAACATCTGTATTTAATTTATCTTTACAATCAGATACAGAAATTCAACAAAAAGCTCCTAATCCTAATCTATGCCATGACCTCTCCCTTAAAAAGCTCATCCTTTGTCTGACTGAGCTCAAACATTCCCGCAAGGTCATAAGTATTTTGAGTCCTCTGCTTTTTACTTTGTACACTCACGATTGTGTGTCCTCCTCTGACTCTAACTTGATCATTAAATATGCTGATGACACCACCATCATCGGTCTCATCAGTGACAATGATGAATCCTCTTATAGAGCAGAGATCGAACATGTTTTTCAGTGGAGTAAAGTAAACAATCTCCAGCTGAACACTGCAAAAACATGTGAACTTGTCTTTGACTTCAGTCATAGCAGTTCTCACACTCCTGTTGTTATTGACAACTCCCAGGTGCAGATCGTAGAGGAGCAAGTTCCTGGGTTTAACTCTGTCTAACCTGAAATGGGTTAAAAACACTGACCGGGTTGTTAAGAAAGCTCGTCAGCGGCTCTTCTTTTTGCGGAAACTTAGAGAATTTACCACTAACTCTAAGATTCTGCTTAATTTTTATCGCTGCACCATTGAGAGTTGACTTGTTGGTTCTGTGTCTGTGTGGTTTGGAAACATCACAGATAAAGAAAAGAGAGCTTTAAACAAGGTGCTCCGCTCTGCAAAGAGGACCGTGGGCTGTGAGCTTCCTGTTCTGGAGGTTCTTTACAAATCCAGACTTTTAAACAAAGCTCTTAAAATCATCGGTGACTCTTCTGGCCACCCTGGGAAAGCCATGTTCCAGCTTCTTCCCTCTGGCAGAAGATATCGGTCACTGAGATGCAAGACATCGCGCTATGCTAACAGCTTCTTTCCACAGGCTGTTAGGTGCCTAAACAGAGCACTTTAATTCCTGCTTTTACCCCTTGTATCGTTTTGTTGATCGGTGCCACAGTGTCAGCTGTTTTTTTTATTATTTTATATTCAGTGTATGTGTATTTTATATTACATTGTATCGTGCTTTTTATTCTGTCGGTGCACACAGAGTACCTTTTATTGCAAATGTATTCCAATGTAGGTTTTATACTGCACATGGCCAATAAATGAATCTGAATCTGAAGTAGCGCACTTCCGATGACGTCATCTCTGTGCGCCTCCCTGAAAGTTCATTTCCGGGTGTGCTGGCGTCCCTTGTCCACTGGGAGGCGTCAGAACGCCGTTGGTGAATTCCCAGTCTGCTAGGGAGACCAGGTTTGAACTTTGATCTCGCCAGAGAGGGAGGCAGAGAATTGTTTATTCATGGAGTCAATAATTGTCTGGTTTGTAGACTGGTATCTTTATGATTCCTGTGTACTATCTTGTGTCCTTGGGGTTTTTCCCGAGTGCACATTCTTTCGTCTGATGTGCAGCATTTTGGGAAAATTCATCAGTCTGTACTACAGTACTGTGTCTGTGCTACTGTGTCTGTGCTACAGTGTCTGTACTACTGTGTCTGTGCTACTGTGTCTGTGCTACTGTGTCTGTGCTACAGTGTCTGTACTACTGTGTCTGTGCTACTGTGTCTGTGCTACTGTGTCTGTGCTACAGTACTGTGTCTGTGCTACAGTACTGTGTCTGTGCTACTGTGTCTGTACTACTGTGTCTGTGCTACAGTACTGTGTCTGTGCTACTGTGTCTGTGCTACTGTGTCTGTGCTACAGTACTGTGTCTGTGCTACTGTGTCTGTACTACTGTGTCTGTGCTACAGTACTGTGTCTGTGCTACTGTGTCTGTGCTACTGTGTACTACTGTGTCTGTGCTACAGTACTGTGTCTGTGCTACTGTGTCTGTGCTACAGTACTGTGTCTGTGCTACTGTGTCTGTACTACTGTGTCTGTGCTACTGTGTCTGTACTACTGTGTCTGTGCTACTGTGTCTGTGCTACAGTACTGTGTCTGTACTACTGTGTCTGTACTACTGTGTCTGTGCTACTGTGTCTGTGCTACTGTGTCTGTGCTACTGTGTCTGTGCTACTGTGTCTGTACTACTGTGTCTGTACTACTGTGTCTGTGCTACTGTGTCTGTGCTACTGTGTCTGTGCTACTGTGTCTGTACTACTGTGTCTGTGCTACTGTGTCTGTGCTACTGTGTCTGTACTACTGTGTCTGTGCTACTGTGTCTGTGCTACTGTGTCTGTGCTACTGTGTCTGTACTACAGTACTGTGTCTGTGCTACTGTGTCTGTGCTACTGTGTCTGTGCTACTGTGTCTGTACTACTGTGTCTGTACTACAGTACTGTGTCTGTGCTACAGTACTGTGTCTGTGCTACTGTGTCTGTGTCTGTACTACTGTGTCTGTACTACAGTACTGTGTCTGTACTACAGTACTGTGTCTGTACTACTGTGTCTGTACTACAGTACTGTGTCTGTACTACTGTGTCTGTGCTACTGTGTCTGTACTACTGTGTCTGTGCTACAGTACTGTGTCTGTACTACAGTACTGTGTCTGTACTACAGTACTGTCTGTACTACAGTGTCTGTACTACTGTGTCTGTACTACAGTACTGTGTCTGTACTACAGTACTGTGTCTGTACTACTGTGTCTGTACTACTGTGTCTGTACTACAGTACTGTGTCTGTACTACAGTACTGTGTCTAAGTCCACCTGGTCTCTGATGGTCTCTGGTTGCTGGTCTCTGGTTTCTGGTCTCTGGTTTCTAATGGTCCTGGTCTCTGATGGTCCTAGTCTCTCCACAGGTGGTGTGTAAGTACATCCAGGACCCAGTGCTGTTCCTGGTGGACCATGTGGGTTTGGTGAAGTTCGACCTCCGCTTCATGGTCCTGCTGCGCTCTGTGCGACCGCTCAAACTCTACGTCTACAACGTGTTCTGGCTGCGCTTTGCAAACAGGTGACGTGTGCGTGTGTGCATGGGCGTGTGCGTGTGCGTGTGCGTGTGCGTGTGTGTGTGCGTGTGCGTGTGCGTGTGTGTGTGTGTGTGTGCATTATCCTTCAGGCTCCAGATGGTCCAATCTGGTCGACACTGGTTAAACACTAACTAGGTTTTCCACTGGATGTTTCTCCTTCTCTCTCCTCTCTCTTCTCTCAGCAAGAAGGTCCTGGGTCGGACTAGGGCCTTTCTGAGTGGAGTTTGCATGTTCTCCCCATGTCTGCGTAGGTTTCCTCCGGGTGCTCCGGTTTCCCCTACCACTAAAAACAATAGGTCTGAATGTGCCTCCTGTACTGGCCCCTCCCCTCTCTGTGTGGAGTGAGAGACTAATGCCCAAAAATAACAATTGTAAACCGCTTTGTGACTCTGGTCTGTGAAAGGCGCTATATAAATAAACATTACTACTTACTACTACTCTCTCCTCTCTCTCTCCTCCTCCTCTCTCATCTCTCTCTCCTCCTCTCTCATCTCTCTCTCCTCCTCTGCGCCTCCTCAGGGAGTTCTCGTTAGATCACTTTGACGACTACGAGAAACACTTCACTGTGATGAACTACACTGAAGGAGCAACACTAACACAGGTAACACACACAGAGACACACACACACACAGACACACACAGAGACACATACACATACAGATACATAGATACACACACAGAGTACACACACACACAGACACTCACACACACCCACACAGACACACACACAAACACACACACCCACAGACACACACACAGACACACACACACGGACACGCACACACAGACACACAGAGACACGCACAGACACACAGACACATTAGCAGCACTTGTTTACAGACACGTTAGCAGCACTTGTTTACAGACACGTTAGCAGCACTTGTTTACAGACACGTTAGCAGCACTTGTTTACAGACACGTTAGCAGCACTTGTTTACAGACACGTTAGCAGCACTTGTTTACAGACACGTTAGCAGCACTTGTTTACAGTCACGTTAGCAGCACTTGTTTACAGACACGTTAGCAGCACTTGTTTACAGACACGTTAGCAGCACTTGTTTACAGTCACGTTAGCAGCACTTGTTTACAGTCACGTTAGCAGCACTTGTTTACAGACACGTTAGCAGCACTTGTTTACAGACACGTTAGCAGCACTTGTTTACAGACATGTTAGCAGCACTTGTTTACAGTCACGTTAGCAGCACTTGTTTACAGTCACGTTAGCAGCACTTGTTTACAGACACGTTAGCAGCACTTGTTTACAGTCACGTTAGCAGCACTTGTTTACAGTCACGTTAGCAGCACTTGTTTACAGTCACGTTAGCAGCACTTGTTTACAGACACGTTAGCAGCACTTGTTTACAGACACGTTAGCAGCACTTGTTTACAGACACGTTAGCAGCACTTGTTTACAGACATGTTAGCAGCACTTGTTTACAGACACGTTAGCAGCACTTGTTTACAGACACGTTAGCAGCACTTGTTTACAGTCACGTTAGCAGCACTTGTTTACAGACATGTTAGCAGCACTTGTTTACAGACACGTTAGCAGCACTTGTTTACAGACACGTTAGCAGCACTTGTTTACAGACATGTTAGCAGCACTTGTTTACAGACATGTTAGCAGCACTTGTTTACAGTCACGTTAGCAGCACTTGTTTACAGACATGTTAGCAGCACTTGTTTACAGACACGTTAGCAGCACTTGTTTACAGACACGTTAGCAGCACTTGTTTACAGTCACGTTAGCAGCACTTGTTTACAGACACGTTAGCAGCACTTGTTTACAGACACGTTAGCAGCACTTGTTTACAGACACGTTAGCAGCACTTGTTTACAGACACGTTAGCAGCACTTGTTTACAGTCACGTTAGCAGCACTTGTTTACAGACATGTTAGCAGCACTTGTTTACAGTCACGTTAGCAGCACTTGTTTACAGTCACGTTAGCAGCACTTGTTTACAGACACGTTAGCAGCACTTGTTTACAGTCACGTTAGCAGCACTTGTTTACAGTCACGTTAGCAGCACTTGTTTACAGACACGTTAGCAGCACTTGTTTACAGACACGTTAGCAGCACTTGTTTACAGACACGTTAGCAGCACTTGTTTACAGACACGTTAGCAGCACTTGTTTACAGACACGTTAGCAGCACTTGTTTACAGTCACGTTAGCAGCACTTGTTTACAGTCACGTTAGCAGCACGTGTTTACAGACATGTTAGCAGCACTTGTTTACAGTCACGTTAGCAGCACTTGTTTACAGACACGTTAGCAGCACTTGTTTACAGACACGTTAGCAGCACTTGTTTACAGACATGTTAGCAGCACTTGTTTACAGACATGTTAGCAGCACTTGTTTACAGACATGTTAGCAGCACTTGTTTACAGACACGTTAGCAGCACTTGTTTACAGTCACGTTAGCAGCACTTGTTTACAGACACGTTAGCAGCACTTGTTTACAGACATGTTAGCAGCACTTGTTTACAGACACGTTAGCAGCACTTGTTTACAGACATGTTAGCAGCACTTGTTTACAGTCACGTTAGCAGCACTTGTTTACAGACACGTTAGCAGCACTTGTTTACAGACACGTTAGCAGCACTTGTTTACAGTCACGTTAGCAGCACTTGTTTACAGTCACGTTAGCAGCACTTGTTTACAGACACGTTAGCAGCACTTGTTTACAGACACGTTAGCAGCACTTGTGGCCTCTGTACCCACTGTGTTGTCACATTGTGATGTCACACTTTATTCTGTTTGGTAGATTCACTACGATGAGTTCATCCCGATGTTCGAGCAGCAGTATCCACAGCACCCCTGGAGGAACATCCAGGTAACTACACACACACTCACACACACACACAGACACACACACACAGAGACATACATACACACACACACACACACGCACACACACACAGAGACACACACACACTAATTGTGTTGTACTCGCCGGTCCCGCTGCGTAATCTCAGGTCTCCACACATCACCTCGCTTTGTCCATGGCTCTCTGCAGCTCAGGTGCACACCGGGTTCGCACGCCTGTTCATGCTCTCCTGCTTCTGCGTACGTAGTACCAGGTGGCCGCGTACGTAGTACCAGGTGACTGCGTACGTAGTTCCAGGTGGCCGCGTACGTAGTACCAGGTGGCCGCGTACGTAGTACCAGGTGACTGCGTACGTAGTTCCAGGTGGCCGCGTACGTAGTACCAGGTGGCCGCGTACGTAGTACCAGGTGGCCGCGTACGTAGTACCAGGTGACTGCGTACGTAGTTCCAGGTGACCGCGTACGTAGTACCAGGTGACCGCGTGCGTAGTTCCAGGTGGCCGCGTACGTAGTACCAGGTGGCCGCGTACGTAGTTCCAGGTGGCCGCGTACGTAGTACCAGGTGACTGCGTACGTAGTTCCAGGTGACCGCGTACGTAGTACCAGGTGGCCGCGTACGTAGTACCAGGTGACTGCGTACGTAGTTCCAGGTGGCCGCGTACGTAGTACCAGGTGGCCGCGTACGTAGTACCAGGTGACTGCGTACGTAGTTCCAGGTGGCCGCGTACGTAGTACCAGGTGGCCGCGTACGTAGTACCAGGTGACTGCGTACGTAGTTCCAGGTGACCGCGTACGTAGTACCAGGTGACCGCGTGCGTAGTTCCAGGTGGCCGCGTACGTAGTACCAGGTGGCCGCGTACGTAGTTCCAGGTGGCCGCGTACGTAGTACCAGGTGGCCGCGTACGTAGTTCCAGGTGGCCGCGTACGTAGTACCAGGTGGCCGCGTACGTAGTTCCAGGTGGCCGCGTACGTAGTTCCAGGTGGCCGCGTACGTAGTACCAGGTGGCCGCGTACGTAGTTCCAGGTGGCCGCGTACGTAGTACCAGGTGGCCGCGTACGTAGTTCCAGGTGGCCGCGTACGTAGTACCAGGTGGCCGCGTACGTAGTTCCAGGTGGCCGCGTACGTAGTACCAGGTGGCCGCGTACGTAGTTCCAGGTGGCCGCGTACGTAGTTCCAGGTGGCCGCGTACGTAGTTCCAGGTGGCCGCGTACGTAGTACCAGGTGGCCGCGTACGTAGTTCCAGGTGGCCGCGTACGTAGTACCAGGTGGCCGCGTACGTAGTTCCAGGTGGCCGCGTACGTAGTACCAGGTGGCCGCGTACGTAGTTCCAGGTGGCCGCGTACGTAGTACCAGGTGACCGCGTACGTACAGGTGACCGCGTACGTAGTTCGTAGTTCCAGGTGACCGCGTACGTAGTACCAGGTGACCGCGTACGTAGTACCAGGTGACCGCGTACGTAGTACCAGGTGACCGCGTACGTACAGGTGACCGCGTACGTAGTACCAGGTGACCGCGTACGTAGTACCAGGTGGCCGCGTACGTAGTACCAGGTGGCCGCGTACGTAGTACCAGGTGGCCGCGTACGTAGTACCAGGTGGCCGCGTACGTAGTACCAGGTGGCCGGTCAAACCGAGTGCATCTTTGTCCAAGCCATTTATACTGGGGTTACGCGCGCTTTCACGGTTTCATGGGATTTTGTTGTGTAACGTTCCTTTGTTTAATGATATCTCCCACTTTCATGGAAGGGAATTAAAGGGGAGGTAGGTAAAATAATACCATGGATAATTTGAGGTGAGAATAAAAATGTATTCATAATTTTGTGTAACGCCCATGGGAGGGGCTTGGGGCTTAAGAGGGGAGCTGTTTGGGCTGTACAGGGAGTCTGTAGCTGCGTTTCCATTGAATAATGCGCAAAAACTTTTTTGATACATTGCTAAATTCGAAAAACCTGTATTTTGCAAAAGCGTTCGTTTCCATTAAGACATATTCGAATAAGTATACACTATTTTTGCACGTTTATTCACTAGTTTCTAGTACGTCAACATGGCAACAGAAGTAAACAACAATTTGATTTACGTGAGATATATTAATGTCTTGACTTCTGCTGCGGCTCTCATCCTTAACCGGATACATTATAAAAATCTCTCTTGAATTGTAGAAGTGAATAAAGCTAGATTGATTGAATGAATGAACTCATTTATATTTATTATGCAGCGATGGCTCTGAATGAAGCGTCTGCAGCGTCTTGGACACAGCCTGGCTCGGGGTAGAAGTGCGCATTGAAGCGCTGTACACTAAGAGAGCGTTTGCGGTCCAGATTTCACAAAGAAACTCTGGAGCCAAAACTTCTGCACATTTGAGGAGTTATGTGGCCGACCTCTCATGGCACCTGCTCTGCATGCACTGCCAAGAGAGTGCAGCGGGTGGACAGGGAGACATTTGGAGTGAGCAATACCATCCATTGGTGCGTTATTGGGGTGTGTGTCTGTGTGAGGCTCACACAAATCTAATGAAAACATACATTGCTTTACCAGATGTGAGGAATACAAATAGAAGTGTGTAATAACGCAGCACAGAGCCTGCCACAGCAACAGCTGGGTCACATGTCCCTGTCACGTAAAGTGTATTTGTATAGAGCCTTTCACTGTCCAGGATCACAAAGCACTTCACATTTAAAAACATACAGATCAAAATAATACACACAAAAGTCAGATTTAAAATCATAGAAACAGAAGAGGGTCCTCATCAGGATCTGTGATTTATTCAAAGTTTGCGTGTTTCCGTTAGACTTTTTCTGATGCTCAAATTTTAAAACACGATGCTCAATGAAAACACATAATGTTTCCAGAGGGAATATGTTTATTGTTGTCCATATCTTAAATTTCATGCGTGTTTTGGCGTGCTGTGCCGAAGGTTGAGATCAGCGTATAGATTTACACTACCTCCAGACCTGGCGTATATTTTTTGCGTATTGTTTGCTCACGTCCAGATTGATAAATGTGGAAAAGTGTAATATTTAGCGTACGCCTCATTTACCCTGATTTGTCCGTTCGCAGGTTTCATACGTGAGGCCCACAGTGAGGCCCACAGTGAGGCCCACAGTGAGGCCCACAGTGAGGCCCACAGTGAGGCCCACAGTGAGTCTCACAGTGAGGCCCACAGTGAGGCCCACAGTGAGGCCCACAGTGAGGCCCACACAGGCCTAGAGTTTACCTCATCAGTGTGAGGCCAGCCAGGCCTGAGCCTCCTCCTCTGGGACCTACGGGCCCGGGCCTCTGGCTCCTCTGCCTCACCAAGTTCACGCTGAACTTCACTTTGGAGAGACCCAAGAGGGAAAATGCAGTTAGAAGTTTGTTGATTGAGTATGTTTGGCGCCCTAGGCCCGGGAGAGATGCTGATGAGTGCGGCGCTTGCTCGCGCGCATGATCCCCCCCGGGGCCTAGGCACTGGTGACGGCAGAGGCAGTAGGCAAGCACGCTTCGATGAGAGAAGGAGGAGGTGGGGCGGCGGAGGCTTTGCAAACTTCAGAAGGCCGGGAAAGTGGGCGTCTCCGGCTTTTAACTTGCTGTCCTGGTGGTTATTGGTGGATTAGATGTGGGCGTTTTGCTGGTGTAATGAGTAGAGGATGAGCAGGCTTGTAGATCTGGCAGCAGTGGCCGGGTCTACCACAGTGAACTTTCGCGAAGAGCTTCATTTCACTTTGGAGAGACCCAAGAGGAAAATGCAGTTAGAAGTTTGTTGATTGAGTATGTTTGGCGCCCTAGGCCCGGGAGAGATGCTGATGAGTGCGGCGCTTGCTCGCGCGCATGATCCCCAAAAACGGGCAGAGTTATCTTGCGCGCCGGGACGTGAGCGCTCGCTTCACGATCAACCGGACGCTGCCTGGGACGTGAGCGCTCGCATCACGATCGATACCAGACGCTGTAGCGGAGTTGTCTTTAAGCGCCGGGACGTGAGCGCTCGCTTCACGATCAACCGGACGCTGTCTGGGACGTGAGCGCTCGCATCACGATCGATACCAGACGCTGTAGCAGAGTTGTCTTTAAGCGCCGGGACGTGAGCGCTCGCTTCACGATCAAACCGGACGCTGCCTGGGACGTGAGCGCTCGCATCACGATCGATACCAGACGCTGTAGCAGAGTTGTCTTTAAGCGCCGGGACGTGAGCGCTCGCTTCACGATCAACCGGACGCTGCCTGGGACGTGAGCGCTCGCATCACGATCGATACCAGACGCTGTAGCAGAGTTATCTTTGAGCGCCGGGACGTGAGCGCTCGCATCACGATCAACCGGACGCTGCAACAGGGTTATCTTTGAAGAAGTGCGTGCCGCCACCAGAATCTTATTGGTTCACTTACTTTGCTTTGTATTGCTTTGCTGGGAGCTTACGAGGAAGCCAGTAGACGTTGTGCAGCCAGGATAGCGGACGCGTCTGGCCTGATGTAGGTGGAGAAAGCCGAAGAGGACCAGCGCCCCAGCTGTTGCAGAGAGGTGTGGGGGAGCCCCAGCGAGGCCGCGCGCGTGGCAGCGCCTATCCTGAAGGAGTGGGCTGTGTAGAGCTGGGGAGACAAATTACAGAGGAGCAGTAGGGATCTTAGTTGAGCTCTGAACCAGGTTGCTGTCATGGGAAGAATGTCTGGAGTGAGAAATAGAGGTCCGTTAAGATCTCCTTTTTGCAGCGGAGGCGAGTGTAACGCATAAAGGATTTGTAGGGGCAGAGAGATGTGTCCGAGCGAGCTATTACTATATTGCAGGCTCCTTTGATTTTTGAATGTTTGAGACGGAGGTTGAAATGGTCAGGGGACATTATGTTGGGTGAAAAAGAGCGACCTTTGTGTAATGCTTCCACTACGTCGAGATTATCACACATGACAGAGATCCTCTTTCTCTGCCACGTGTGATTCCACAGCGCGCAGGCCACGACCACTGGGAATATCACGTGTAGGGCAGAGGAGATGCTCCGGTGGAAGTAGCGGCCACGGCCCGGCAACCCAATGGTCCTGGAAGAATCCCCCAAAACCCACGGAAGGGGCAGCGTCCGTGTAGAAGCGGAGACCTGTAGGGGCAGAGACATGTCGGAGAGGGCCATTGATGTTGCAGCGCCCTTACGCTTGAAACCTTGGGTTGGAGAGTAGAAATCAGGATAGTAGGAAGGTCGGGAAGGCCGTGTCTCGGACCGCATGAAGGTTGAGTGAGCAATGGTGAAACGCTTACGCAGAGAAGCCATAGAAGGAGAGCAGGAAGATGC